GAACAGTAAATTTTTTAAGAATTTAGTTAACTGTTCGGTGCAACTCCAAAATATGAATCCAAATATCCAAATTGCTCCATCGCGTCGAAAAGTACGGCGGATGGAACAATCAGACCGCTTGACACATTTCAACAAAATTTTATGTATAATTAAACATCCAGTAGGATTGCAAATGCCAAGAAATGAGTGCATGTAGGCATTAGTAGTGTTGCAATAGAGATTGATGGGGTGCACGATGACAGCAGAGCTGCCTCGGACACGATGACAATCTCTAATTGCAACTCCTAGCCTATAAGCAGCACGCTCGAGGCAAACACAATCCAAATACACCTCGTGCCAGCCACCCCATCCCGTCGATAAATACGGTGGATGGAATGAACATGTATGTACGATAGGATTGTGAGTGCTACGAAATGATTGCATATATGCGTCAATGCTGCAACAGAGATTGATGGGGTGCGCGATGACAACAGAGTTGCCCCAGGCACGATGACAACCTCTAATTGCAACACCTTGCATGCAAGCAGCACGTCCGCAACAGACACAATCCACGCCTTATCACATTTGCAGCCACACGCACTATGCACAGAGACTAAGAGCAGCAGACACACCCCGAAACAGACAGTATTTGTCAAACCCATGCACACCCCTCATGCAAACAATAATCAAGCAGACACATGCAGCATCGCAAATAGCCTAATAGTTGGAGTCCCCTATATCCAAATTAGAGAACAGTGATAACGTCGTGAAATCAGAAAATTGATTACGCATGATGTTCCAACAAGCAATAGAAATTGGTGTTGGAAGATGTTCTTTGTCTTGCGGCTGGAATAGACAGCGCGTGCTACACGACCTGCACAGAACACCAGTGAATCATAGAAGCACAACAAACGTTCAAAAGTGGACCACATCATTTGTTTATATGCACTCATGGTGTTAGATATTGCGTTTGGGGTTTAAGGTTTAGTGCGGAAGTACTCCATGGGATGGAAGGGAGGAGGAGAATAACAGAAGGGGAGGGAGAAAAAGGGCAGTAAGGAGAAAATTATAGACTGAAATTGTGGGGACGCTGGCGATGACCTACGTGGTACCTAGGAATGAATGAAGGGATGGAAAGAGGAGCAGGAGGGGTTAAAAGGAGGGGGACACACAAAAAAAAGAATATGTGGCATGAGCAAAATGCCATAGCAGACGGCGCCAGCACGCTCGTCACCAGCACAGACCGGGCCACCACGGGCAACGCCAGCTCGCACGGCATGGCATGCTATGCCCATACATGCATACAGCCAGGCACGTTATGCACATACACGCATACCACTAGGCATGCTATGCCCATACACACATACAGCCAGGCATTCTATGCCCGTACATGCATACAGCCAGGCATTCTATGCCCATACATGCATAGAGCCATGCATACTATACCCATACATGCATATAATACAACTAGGTATGCTATGCCCATACACACACACAGCCAAGCATTCTATGCCCATACACACATACAGCTAGGCATGCCATCCCCATACACATATACAGCCAGCCATACCATGCCCATACACACACACAGCCAGGAATGCTCTGCCCATATACATATACAGTCAGGCATGCCATACCCATACACACACACAGCCAGGCATGCTATGCCCATACACACATACAGCCTGGCATGCGATGCCCATACATGCGGACAGCCAGGCACGTTATGCACATACACGCATACAACTAGGCATGCTATGCCAAAACACACATATAGCCAAGCATGCTATGCCCATACATGCATACAACTAGGTATGCCATGCCCATACACACATACAGCGTGGCATGCTGTGCCCATACGTGCATACAGCTAGGCATGCCATCCCCATACACACATACAGCCAAGCATACCATGCCCATACACACACACACACAGGCATGCTATGCCCATATACACATACAGCCTGGCATGGTATGCCCATACATGCATACAGCCAGGCACGTTATGCACATAGACGCATAGAACTAGGCATGTTATGCCCATACATGCATACAATACAACTAGGTATGCTATGCCCATACATGCATACAATACAACTAGGTATGCTATGCCCATACACACATACAGCCAGGCATGCTATGCCCATACACACACACAGCCAGGCATGCTATGCCCATATACACATACAGCCAGGCATGCTATACCCATACACACAAACAGCCTGGCATGCTATGCCCATACATGCGTACAGCCAGGCACGTTATGCACATACACGCATACAACTAGGCAAGCTATGCCCATACACCCATACAGCCACGCATTCTATGCCCATACATGCATACAGCCATGTATGCTATGCCCATACACACACACAGCCAGGCATGCTATGCCCATACACACAAACAGCTAGGCATGCCATCCCCATATACACATACAGCCAGGCATACCATGCCCATACACCCACACAGCCAAGCATGCGATGCCCATATACACATACAGTCAGGCATGCCATGCCCATACACACACAGAGCCACGCATGCTATGCCCATACACACATACAGCCTGGCATGTTATGCCAATAGATGCATACAGCTAGGCATGTTATGCACATACACGCATACAACTAGGCATGCTATGCCCGTACACACTTGCAGCCAGGCATGCCAGGCCCATACACACATACAGCCTGGCATGCTATGCCCATACATGCGTACAGCCAAGCACGTTATGCACATACATGCATACAACTAGGCATGCTATGCCCACACACACATACAGCCAAGCATGCTATGCCCATACATGAAAACAGCCATGCATGCTATGCCCATACATGCATACAATACAACTAGGTCTGCCATGCCCATACACACATACAGCCAGGCATGCTATGCCCATACACACATACAGCCAGGCATGCTATGCCCACATACAGATACAGTCAGGCATACCATGCCCATACACACACACAACTACGCATGCTATGCCCATACACACATACAGCCTGGCATGTGATGCCCATACATGCATACAGCTAGGCACGTTATGCACATACACGCATACAACTAGGCATGCTAT